CTGTCATTGCCCAATCACCCAGCCGCCAGCCACCAGCTGCCAGCCACCAGCCGCTTTCACACCGTCGGCCACAAACCGCCTTCACACTTGAAGGTTGAGTTTTATTGTTTTGATTTCGTGTATAAATATATAGTTAAGCTTATGCAATTATGAGTGGAGAGATTGAGAGAAACACTAGAGAGAAAGAGAGAAAGAAAGAGGGGTTGTTATTGTAAGCTTGTCATTATTGCAGGATATAAATAAACCTGCCAGCAGCACAAGTTTTATATAGACAAGTTCCCTTGGTGGTTTCAAATATTTTAAGAATTGTTTTGATCGATAGAGTGGTATACAACATGTGAAGACTGCAATTGACCCTCAATTGACCCTGCTAAAATCTTCAGAAAAGAACCAAGTACCCCATCTCTAGCTAGTTGATGATAGGAGAGATGACAAATATAGCACTAAATGAAGACAATATTATGTTTCTTTTATACTAGGCGTCAATTAAGTTAAGCATTAAATAATTTCATTTCATGCACGGTTAGAGTATTAATAAATCTTCATGTAAAGGAAGACTTTTAGCATGTCGGTTTTCATATCCGATGTTAATCTTTTTCTCTTCATCTTCACTACCCTTGTTCCTTTCGAACATGTGTTTATGCAAGCAACAGCTACAGAATGTCTCTCTTAACGGATCCTACACAAAAATCTTCAGGAGAAACTGATCTCTTGATACGATCGAATAAGAAAATCAAAGTAACTTCATGAAAATATCAAGAGGATGTGGGAACAAGTGCTGATCGAATAAAGGATTCAATGACAACTCCTGGATGGCCGAGGATTGTCAGGGTGAAGACTATATCTTTGATGATGATGAGGTGAATGGAGAAGACGACTGCCCTTTGATCAAATTGTCTTTAGATGGAAAACAAAGGATTAGGAAACCCTGGAGGCAAACCTTAATCATAAAGGTTATGGGAAAGAGGATTGGATATAACTACTTGTTGAAAAGACTTCAAACGCTATGTAGAATTCAGGGAGATATAAATCTGGTTGATTTGGGAAACGATTTCTTCTTAGCCATGTTCTCTAATTCTGATGATAGGGACTATGCTCTTTTTGGAGGGCCATGGATGTTGGCTGATCATTATTTGACCGTGAGACAATGGCATCCGAATTTTGATCCATAAGAAGCCACAATTGATCGTGTAGCTGTTCGGGTAAGACTTCCAGATTTAGCAATGGAATACTACGATACCTCTGTACTATGGCGAATTGGAGACCATATAGGAAAAACCCTGAAGGTGGATAGGACAAGTTCGGTTGGTACTAGAGGTAACTGCGCCAGAATCTGTGTGGAAGTGGATCTCACAAAGCCAGTATTATCGAAATTCAAATTAAGAAGAACAGTTCGCAGAGTAGTTTATGAAGGGTTGCATTTAATTTGTTCTCAATGCGGCACATATACACATAAGAAGGAGATTTGTCCCCACGTCCAACACCATAATGAAGATGGTAGAGATAAGCAACAGTCTGGTTGTTCCAATGAGCCGGAGGAGATGAATCTTGAAGTGGTGCCACATGAAGAAGCTCATGTGGCTAATGGATGATTGCGAACAGGACGGGAAGGAAGGGGAGTAAAACCCCTGGCATCACGGGTGCACCTAATTCAGGGCAGAAATTTCGGGAAAGTGATAAAGGAGCAAAATCTCAGCTGACGGGTAAGGAAACTATGCTACCTGGGGACGTCAATGAGATTCTCTCATGTTCAGAAAAAGTAGGATGGGAGCCAGCTGATATGAGAAGGTGTATTCGTTTTGGTAAATGGGTGCAGGATTGTGGTCTGATGGATCTAGCTTGAGACCAAAATTAACTTGGAAAGGCCAGAGTAGAGAGGGGCATGGGTATGGGCATGTCTATGAGAGGTTGGATAGAGTTTTTGGTAACCAGGCTTGGACATTGCAGTTTCCTGAAATGCGGGTGAAGGTATTACCTCGAATTAAATTTGATCGTCACCCTATCTTAGTTGAACTGAACTATTCGAATGAGAGTCGGCAGGGATCTCCTCGCCCTTCTAGATTCGAAGCCGCTTGGACCACTCATAAGAATTTTGCAGCCTTTCTTATTGAAAATTGGCAGGGTCACTTGGAATTACATGGTTCTCTCAAGTCAATGGCTTGGAAATTACAGGAGTGGAACATACAAGTCTTCGGTAATATTTTTTTCTCGAAAGAGGAAAGTTCTAGCTCAGATTGGAGGTATTCAAAGAGCAGTGGCTCAAGGTGTTAATCCTTTCTTGTTAAACCTGGAAAGAAAGTTTACAAAAGAGTATAACCAGATTTGTTCTCAAGAGGAAATCCATTGGTACCGGAAATCAAGATGCCAACGGATTACTTTTGGAGACAAGAATCCTTCCTACTTTCACACTAAAACTGTTATTCAAAGACAAAAGAATAAAACCAAGGCTCTTAAAGATGACAGTAACGAGTGGGTTTGCGATGAAGAAGTTCTAAGAAGTATGGCTGTGAAATTCTTCAAGAAATGTTTACGGTTCAGGACAACCACAGTCACAATTTTCCTCTTGAGGTATGTTCCCAAGCATAGATCAAATGCGGAAAGATTTGGTGCAGGCTTCAGTCTCAAATGAAGATATCATAAAACTTTATTTGATATGAAAACATACAAAGCTCCTGGTCCAGACGGATTAAGATTCTAACCAATTTTGTCCCGAGAAGACAGATTACATGTAATAAATATTATTGTGGCTCAGGAGATCATTCATTCCATGAGAAAATTGACAGGGAGGAAAGGGCATATGGCTACTAAAGTGGATTTGGAAAAAGCTTATAACCTTCTCAAGTTAATGGGCGTGGGATTGTCATCCCAAATAGTGAATCTTATAATAAATTGTATTGAGACTGCTTCTCTTCAAATTTTGTGGAATGGTAGTCCTCCTGCTAATTTTGCTCCAATGAGAGGGATTAGACATGGGGATCCCTGTATTTTTATGTTATGAGCGGAGACTCTCACATTTGATTCTTAAGGCAGTGGATTCAGGAGATTGGAAGCCGTTTAATATCAGCAAATTGGGACCTTGTATCTCACACCTGTTCTTTGCAGATGATATGCTCCTATTTTCTGAAGCGAATGAGGGACAAATGAAGCAGGTTCAGAATTGCCTTAACTTATTTTGTGAATTTTCTGGCCACAAGGTTAGCGTTGCTAAAACTAAGATATTATTTTCGAAGAATGTCCCAGCCGCTGTAGCAAGATTAATTAGTCATAGTAGTGGTTTTTCTAATACTGATAATCGTGGTAAGTACCTGGCAGTTCCTCCGTTACATCATAGAATTTCCAAGCAAACTTATAGTTGCATTGCTAGAGGCACACGTTCACGCACCGTGTAGCGGGATATTAAAATCGAAGAGCTATTTAATTTAGAATCATTGAAAGATAATTTAAGGGTGTTGATAGATTCCTCACTAATAATTTGTCTATGATCTAAAATAAAAATTTATACTTATGAATAAATTTAGTATTTAAATTTATTATAAATTTATATATTCAAATAAATTTTTGTAGAAAAAAATATATAAAGATACCTTAACAGAGTTCACTTGTGTTAAAAAGTGAAAGGTTTTTCACAACTTGTTGCAATCGTTTTTGTTCAAGCATCCTTTTGGAAATTGATTTGGTAGAGGAAGGGATCAGAGAGAATAAAAGCTTTCCTATGGACACTTGCCCATTCACGGATTATGACCAATGAAAATAGAGTTCATCACAACATTGCTTCTGATCCATTCTGGCATAGTTATAGATTGGAAACTGAAACTATTCTTCATATTCTGAGGGACTGTCCTTTAGTCAAAACAGTTTGGAAATCGTTGAAAACAGTTTGGAAATCATTGCTTAGTCCTAACAATGTTACTCCCCTCTTCTGTCCAGAGCTCTTGTCGTGGCTCATCAATAACTTATCATCCCAAATCAGTTCTGGGGAGGGGTGGCCATGGGCAACAATCTTTGGAGCTGCGGTATGGAACATTTGGAAATGGCGTAACCGGAAGATTTTCAATATTGATAATTGTCCAAGTTCTAACCCCACTGTTGCAATAAAATCCCTTGTTGCTGACATTATGTTAGCAGGTGGGTCTGGTGTAAATAATTTAGTATCCACTAAGCAAGTCAGCATGGTTGGATGGAAATATCCCCCGGAGCTAGCATTGGTTGTCGTTGAATGTTGATGGCCGGAGCACTGGCAATCCAGGATATGCTGGTTCAGGGGGCCTCTTTCCAGATAGTTTGGGTACGTGGGTGAGGGGTTTTTCTATCAACATCAGATTCAGTATTTCTATTAGAGTGGAGCTATGGACAGTAATCACTTAATTGGAACGGGCTTGGTCTATGGGTGTTTGTAAATTAATTATAGAATCAGATTCTACTCTTACTGTTGATCTTATCACGAAGAATCAGGCAAGAGTTTATGCGAATTACATATTAGAAAAAAAAAAAAAAAGCACAACAGCATGAGGATTTTAGTATAGCTCTAGACATAAATTATTTTAGATTGCGGTGGTTAAATTTAAATGGATATGTTCTGTGATTAAGAGTGTCATATGAATATACTAATATTTTCAGGTTGTATTTTTTATTTTTTTAATCAAAAAACTATTAACATGTATTTTACATGTCCTGTCCTAGTAAGGGGAAGGCATCTGCATTATTAAGAAGAACTGTGAAATGTTTACTCGTGGCCAAATCTGATCATATATTGTGTGACTAGATATATAAACATATTATCTTTCATATGGTGCGATACGTGTATATATATTATAGTTGAATTACCGTCGATGATTAATTATTTGTGTTTTTTCTCTCTTCTGACAACTAATATGTATAATTATTCTTTATTTATTTGTTTTTTGCTTGGATATGATAACCATAATAGACTCAAGCTACTTTGGGCTAGCTACGCTACTTTGGGCTAGCTACCACATTAGAGCCGAAGTTCTTGGGTCTAGCAATAATGATAGGCCCAGGAGTCTTGGGTCTGACAACCATATTTAGTGCTAGACCTAGTGGCAGGCTGGCAACCATGTTTTATGCCGGACCCAAACGAATGTTTGGCAACTATGTTTGTGCCAAACCCAAGTTTCGTGAGGCTAGCAAACCTATGTAAGTGTAATATGGACCAAGATATATTTCACTGTAGACTTGTATGGTGGATTTTTCAAGCTCTGAAGGTTTGGGATAAGGTTAACGTTGTCTTTTCATATAAAGTTAAATTATCATTTTATCTTTTTGTTGAAAAAATTAAAGCCTTGGTTGTAAGGGTATTTCAAGATTTTTCATAAGTTCATTGGTATTAAACTTTTTAGCAAGGGTATAGTAGTTTTTTTATAATTATTTGTATAGTAAAAATATTATTCTATCCCTATGGTTAACAAGATTAAGACCTATTATCTAGGATTTTTTTACCTTCACAAACTATTAAATAGTTAAAATATTTATGTGTTGTACTTTTCTCATTATTCTCTTAAACAATAAGAAGCATGGTATTTTATTCATAGGGAAACCTATAAAAAAAACCCTATAAATAACTAAATATTATTTTGTCCCTCAAATAATATCATATATATTATTTTAGACTAATTTTAGAGATTTATTCAATCAATTTTTCACTTAATTGTTTCTAAGTCTAAAATTATAATCCATTGTATTAATTACATTATAATCCTCAATTCTAAAATTTATTTACAATCAAATCATGTTTAATTAATCATCACATTTTAATTTCTAACAAATGGTTCTTATGAATGTGACCCATTAGGTTCCTTAATAAATTGGCTCAAATATAAATTATAATTTTAAATAAAATAAGATTAAATAATTTAATTTATTATCAATTAAATAATTGATTAATTTATATTTGAACATCAAGTACAATGTCTAGCAATCTATCATGATCCTTTACATATTAGAAAATTCATAAGTGATTTGACTTAATTTTTCAATGACTAGTTTCTTAGTATAATTATTGTCCTTTCATTAAAAATATTTTAATTTAGACATTATAATATGAAGTATGTCTAATTTGTCAAACCATGTTAATTCTCAATATTATAATCATTAGTTCTTTAAATGAGATTTTAAAACTTTTTTATTATTCATTCCATATTAGCTAAATATTTCATAATTAATATTATTTAAGAACCACTATAATATTTTTACTAATTCACCTAAAATGATGAATCATTTCCTGATTACTTAAATATCTTTATATAGTTTTACTTGTTTGTTACCTTTTATCAGGACAACGGATGACCAGGATTAAAGCATATCACTTTATATATAAGATAACTTAATGATTTCAAATTTAAGGATCACTTTCACAACTATCATTACAATCTTTCAACTCAATATTAAAAAAATAAAATTGATCAAGATAATTTTAAAACATCATAAGCAAGAGAAAAAAAAACCATGTAAGGAGACACTACAACAATCTATAGTGTTTTGTAAGGAAAGTTATAGTATTTTCCCCACATGATTAAGCTTTATTACAAAGCTAAATTCTAACAAGCTCACTATTAAAAAAATAAAATTAACAAAA